CATTGTATTTTCTTCTGACATTTTAGACAAATAGACATTCGTCGTTTTAGCAGGTGGTTTGGTAAAAAGGTACAAAGAAAAACTTGTGTGCGTGTGTTTGTGCAGCTGTTTCCCCTGAGACTCACCCACTGAGGTGGGCATCTCCCCCCACTGCAGCACCACGTCCTTGGTGATGCGCCCGTAGGTGTTCACGTACACGCCCTCGTCCTCGTAGCACACCAGCAGCTCGATGCCGTCGGTGTTGGGCAGGATGATGATGGCGTGAGACTGGATATGGGTTTGGATCTGCAGGGAAACACAAAACCAGCACAGTGTTGACATGGGAGGAAGAAGAGAAGTCAAATCATAGAAGAGTTAGTGAGCTACAACCCTGATATATATCATTTAACGCTTTAGCAAACATGTAAGTGAGATATTCTTTTAGTTGTTCTTACGTGTGTGGGTAGGTAGATGTCATAGACAGCCCCAGAGTCCACATCCACAGCGTGGAATCCAGAAGAGGAACCGTAAATGACCTTTAGCCTCTGCCCCTCCTCCACGGTCAAGTCAACCAGCAGAGGTTTGTGCACCAAGTCTCCGAAAGACTGAAGGACAAACGCCAGAAAAACGAGTTGGGTTATTTTCCTCTGTTTTGATTGGTCATTGAGCAGCAGCGTGAGCATGACATCAGTGTTTATCAGAGAGGATAAATATTAACAGAGAGCAAAACAAACAGTTTTCAATGAATCTGTAGTGAAAACAACACCTTGGCATCAGCGTGCATTCTGGGTAAGAATACAGCCATAAAAATATATGAAGACTTTAAATAGAGGCTGGCTCATTTTTTTCTGGGGGACGATCCTGAACTTGAATTACACAAAAGTTTTCATGTTGGTGCATATTAGCAAACGTAAACACAGATATGTGTGTGACAGGCTCCCATCAGCTGTGATTAATCGTGGTCTACATAAAATCAGGTGTTGGTACATACAAGAAAGATCGAAATTATAGAATCAGCTTTGGAAATATGTGTATTTTTTGTTCTCATAAACTCAATTGTTAAATGAACTCATGTTCTATCAAGCTAAGCTAATCAAATGACATGCTCTCACCTTGAAGGCCATGAACTTGTGGTAGGGTTTAGGTGCCCAGGCGTAGACCTCCACCGAGTTCTTCAGAGCCAGAACCAGGAACTTGATCCGCTCATATTTCACTGGAGCACAAACACAGAAATAAAACTTTAGGACACGATAACAAATGATCAGCATCAGGAGGAGAAAATGATTTATTAGGATTTAAATGTTAAAAAGAGGGTATGAGTTAAATTAAAAGATTTAGAATTCTGCTAATGTGTCTTAGTTTTGAAAAATGTCTCAACATTTAACTTCCTCAAACAAACATCTGCACAAGAGAACTTGAATCAGTGGGTGAGACTTGGTTTCCCGCCAATTCAGACACATGTAAGTAAAATTCCTGGACAGGAAATAGATGTGATGACTGACAGTTGTGAGCAGCGGAGAGGGGTTTCCAACAGGAAGTTTCCGTCCAGGCTCAGTGACACTACCATCATCGAGGACATTCTGAGTTTTAGACAGGACATGTCCCATCGAATGCTGCAGTGTTACTTAACTAAGGGCTTTCCTTCCAGCTTTTATCAGTGACATGCTTGTGTACAAATATTAACTCTCCTGTTCGAGTCCAGATGAGGAAGAAGAGGACAAAGCAGGTTGTTGAATATAAAAAACTGATTAAAACTTAAAAGCTGATATTTCCTCAATACATAATCTATTAGAGCGATGTGTTGTGAAACGATGATGACGCATTAACTCGTCCTTAAGTGTAAGATGCTTAACTGTATCTACACAGATCAATCACAACACAACAATTTCACACAATGAACTTAACTGTCTCAAGTTGCAGAGTTCAACGTCAACAATTTCTTTTTTGTGACTTTATTTTACAGGCAACAACAGAAAGACAGAGAAAAGGATGAGAGACGATAAAACTTCCCGGACAGATTTACAATGAATCAAATCTAAGTGTCCATACGTTCATTTGGATGTCACAGCCGCCACAATATACGCTTTCTTAAATAGGTCAAATCATTCATAGCTGAGCGGCAGCAAGTGATTGTTACCAGGTCTGAAAAGGACCTTAGACCCTAAGGTGACAGTGAAGCCACACTATAACTTACTCACAGTCATCGCAAGCTTTCTTCTGAGTTATTATTTCACCGTGAGAACGCAACTTACCGACTTTGTAGTGGACGCAGCCCTCCAGGTCTCCCACAGTGGTCCAACCCTGTTTCTTCTCCACCTCGGGGTCGTTGTGCAGGATCTTGTTCCTCAGCCAGGACAGGTAGTAAACACGGAGCTTGTTCTTCTTACCTGCCATCGATCGAGAAAGGTCGAATCAGGACTAACACATTTTCATCTACAGGTTTTCTTAACAGTAGATTACACAAAAATAACCGTTAGAAACTCGGTGGAAAGACGCTGAATGGGCCGAGGAAGAACTCTTTAGATTATGGTGCTGATCAGGGGCAGGGGGGATTCAGAGGATCGATTTCTATCAGTGTGTGACATTTGGTTCAGCTTGATTTTATTGAAGGGCACTGAGGAATATTCTAGATAACTGTGTATCTCATCTTGTTATTTTTCTTTCTGTCAACTACTTTTAAAGTTGCTGCAATATTCCTTGATTCCTAAAACACAAACGCTCGACACTATCAATCAGTTCTGTAGATAAAGTCAACAATGAAGTGCAAAGCAATCAGGACACATTGATAAAAAGGGAACCTCCATTCACAGGCTGATATTTTTTGCATTTTATGATTCTTCAACAAGATGTTACGTGTGGACAAATAGATGATACTACTTTTCCCATGACGCATATTCTACACGTTGTTAACGAAAACAAACAGAAGCATGTTTCCCTGTGGTATTTCCTTCCGTCGTGAAAAAAAGCTTGAATGTGTGTCAGCGCTACATATTGTACACACACATGACGCGCTCTCCGCAAGCAGAGATTTACTCAACATCCGTTTGGCCAGAAAGTATCTGTTGTGACACTTCTGACTGTCTGTGTGAAACTGAGAAAGAGGAGAAGTAAGAAGTGGGATGTGGGATGTGCTTTCAATCTGAGAAGTCGTGGGACTCAGAGCTGTGTGTTGGGATGAAAACATTTATGCAACTTCACACACAGATGCACAATGAGCAGGGTTTGGTGGGTTTTTATTCATATATGCACGTGTGTGTGTGTGAACATGACATAGCAAGCTCTCACACACACACACTACTTATCCATGCTTTTGTGTTTATTTGCACCATTATTGCGTCTGTATGATTGCAAAATGTGTGAGTTTGCCCATGTACGTGTGTGTGTGTGTGTGTGT